CAGACTCAGGTTTCTTTGTGTCGTGGATCGACTTGAGTCTTGATCTGGACTTAGTTCCAGTTCAGGATTTCAGGCTGAGTCGACTTGTTAAAGACCTTTGATGGAACAGGCCCTTTAACTCGAGAGACCGACTTTATGAAAACCTTTAATAGTGACACTGACCTGAGCTGTGTGACCTGAGCTGTGTGACCTGAGCTGTGTGACTGTGACCTGAGCTGTGACACTGACCTGAGCTGTGTGACCTGAGCTGTGTGAGCTGTGTGACACTGACCTGAGCTGTGCAGAGGCTCCACTTTGGTCTTTTTTAAAGGTGATACTCAAGCCTTTGGACTTGTCACTGCTCAGAGAGACTCCACTGGGACCAGGACCTGCTTCAGACCTGTTAGAGTCTTGGTTTGGTCCTGCTTCAGACCTGTTAGAGTCCTGGTTTGGTCCTGGTTCAGACCTGTTAGAGTCCTGGTTTGGTCCTGGTTCCGCTGGTTCTGGTCTCTTCTCCATTTTCCTGAAATGAAACACATTCAGCTGTGGTTAAGTGTGACGGAGCAGGTCCGGACACAGACCCTAAACCCGTGTGTGTGTGTGTCTCTGAGTCAATGTCGCACGTGGATCTCTGAGCGCTCGAAGCTGTACAAGATCTACACGACTGAAGTGAGCTCTTCATTTAAAGGTCTGGCAGCATCAGGTCATAAAAATAGTCCAGATGCCCTCCCATCCGAGCCCGGTCAGGATCAGCCCAATGTTCCCGACGTTCCTCCGATTGTGAAAGGTTTTTTATTTTCCTCGTTAAAACCTCGAATCGTCCTCATCTCGAGTTCTCACCATGAACTCATAAAACAGCAGCATGAAGAACTTTGTACAAACTCACCACATCAGCCCGAAGAAGAAACTCTGAGAGAAACAGAAGCAGAAACAGAGATAAAGGGTGTTTTCACACCGACAGTATTTGGTGCACCAAACGATCCATTCGAACCAAAAGTGGTTAGTTCGGTTCGTTTGCGTTGGTGTGAAAGCGTCAATCGGACTCGGACCCGAACCAACTCAACCGGACCGAGACCGCAAAAAAGAGGTGGTCTCGGTTCGCTTGAATCCGCACCAAATGACCAACTTTGGTGCGGTTCCTCTGGTGTGAACGCGAACCCGGGTCCAAACCATAGACAGTATGGGCAAACGGACTATTCGAAATGCATCATGGGAGGAAACGCGTCTCCTCTGCCTGAAATGACGCTGTACGACTCCAGCGCAGTAACAGATTGTTGTCCAGACGCAGACGCGATTCATTTTCGAATTATTTTACCAACAATGGCCAATACAGAGAATGTAACACACGAAGATCAGAGCAAGTATCAGTGTGCGAACGTGTGGCTCCAGAGTGAGTCAAAAAGAGAAGCCCCGGTGTTCCCCGTGATTCACACAGCAACCAGCATTTGTTATTTTAGGCTTTAATTAACCAAATAATTTTATGGCAATAGCCTATTCAATTGATACAACTTTAAAAAGTCCCTGTTTTTAGCCTAGTGTGAGAAATACAGTCGGACTAGATCCAAACCAGAGTCCAGAACCAGCGGGAGCAGCTCCAGTTCAGTCCGGGCTCAGAGGAGCTGGAGCGGGGAGCCTCGACCTGAGGAAGCGCTTTCCCCAGGAAGAACCAAATGCGTGGAGGACGGACGCTCAGAACAACATATAACAAACCAAACTGGACTCACGCTTCTGTCCGGATGCTGCACCACCTCAGAACCAGCCGCGGTTCTTGAGCGCGGAGAACCGGAGCAGCGCCCGGACCTGTAGTCCACAGCGCATTCTTGCTTTTACCGCACGGAAACAGCGCGCAGACGACGGAACGTACCCGCTCAGACCCAGTCATTGCGCACTGGTCTTGCTCGCCACCGTTTGGAACCAGCACATGGAGGACAGAGCCTCCGGACCATCTGACCAACGAGCTTGTAGGACAACAGAAGACCAAGGACCAGACCCCAGCCCCGTCCTGAGGAGCTGTTGGCTGCTGCTGTTACCCGAACTCTGGGCTGATGCGGTGAGTTTGTACAAAGTTCTACATGTTGCTGTTTTATGAGTTCATGGTGATAATTTGAGATGAGGACGGCCCGTGGTTTTAACAGGAACATCGGTGTTGATAACTGGAGTATCGCTGTTTTACCGGGGAAACAGAGACACGTGAATCGAACCAGTTTTGGTTCGTTTGCCGGTGTGAACGCGGACACACTGGAGTGTATTTGCTACATAATAACAATTTTATTGCCTGGTGCGGACTAAATAATCGAACTAGCGGTGTGAAAACGACCAAAGACTGAGGAGCCTCAGGACGGGGCTGGGGTCCGGTCTCGTCCTCCTCGTGCGCTGGTCCAGAGGCTTCGTGCTCCATGTCCTGGTTCCAGACGGGAGCGAGTCAGACCAGTGCGTAAAGGACTGGGTCTGGGCGGTTCCGTGTCGTCGTCTGTGCTGTGGTTCCGTGCGGGGGAAAGTGAGAATGTGCTGTGGACCGCAG